AAAAAAAAAAAAAAGGAATATGTTCTTGGATCACAGTTTGTGCGCCACCTGTCAAGGGTCGCATTTACATCAATCGTAAAAGTTTCGGATATCGGAGTCATGGCATCACTGGCAGTTTTCTCAGTGAGTTCAAGTGCACCAGCAATGATAGTTGTCTCGTCATGTGTGAGTTCTCCACCTTTCCCTGCCTGTGTCAAGCATAACTTACTCAAAGTAATGAAAGAGTAGTTATCCAAAAATACAAAATAAAATTTTTTCATTCCCTTCATGTTTTTCCCTACCTCATTGCCATGCAAATCAACAAGTGTTTTCAACTCAGCACGTCGAAAGAGAGCTCTGTGCCGATGGCCAAGCAGATAGTCCAACAACTGGACATTACCAAAAATATTACAGTAACTGTCATAACTTGTTTTAGAAAATCCGCTCAATACATCCGACAGCAAACGCAAATATGGACAATCGTTATTAAAAAAAAAAAAAAAAGATAAGGTTACCTTGCTTATCGGATATGCAACTGGAAAACAGATCCAAACAAGAATGCGAACCATGGGGGCAACAGCTGCACCAATAGCAAGTCCGTATCTAGAGCAAACAGATTGTGGGATGATCTGAAGCATAACGAAAAGAACATATGAATATATGATCATCACTCCACCTCATCTAACAGATCCACTTGATTTCAACTTCCATGACTGGCATTATAAGCACATTTACTCTATTTTCATACCCAACGTCCTTCATAACAACCTAAACTAGTGCACTGAAACTGTAATCATTTCCATTTTCAGATCATGTTACTTTACATGTAAACTTACAGCAATTTTCACATGGGATAACGCTAGTCACCAAATCTTTGAAATGCATCATTTAAGGACCAAGGCCCACACATATGACCGTTAATCTTGCCACGAGTTAATCATACAAGTCGTCATTAGCACGTTATCTACAGTCAAGAAACCTTTCTGCACTTTTTCTTTCAATGCTAGATTCCTTATCATGGGTGTTACTATAACCATCTAAAAAAGTTGTTCAACTTTCTCCTTTTTCTTCTCTTTTGTTGGATTCTCTTTTTCCGTCACGTAGACTAAAGTTCATTGCAACTTGAAGTGTCAAAACTCACTACATAATAGTACCTCACCAAATAGAAGTATCAAAGTCACTGAAATAAGAATTGCTCCCCAGGCCGTAACTAGACTATCAAGGAAAATAGGGAGTGCCTGCAAAGAAATTAACCCAAGCATTAGATAATATGCGTCACGCTCGAATCGATTTGAGAAGCATAAGACATCAAACATAGTATACCTCCATGGCAGCAGCATTGCAGATGAGCAGAGTGCAGAGTAACAAATGCTGATTCTTGACAACAGGTAGTATCTTTGCTGCAGGAACAGAACTTCTATCTTAGTATAAATGAATATTCAATTCCCAATCTCATAATTAGCTAGCACAAGTTCGATGGTGATTTTCGAATCCCCATTAAATTGACCACAATAACAGTTTTGCAAGTTCATGATTCGAGATTTATAAATCGACCAGGTCCATGTCTGAAGCTTGAAAACCAATAAAATTAAAATTACCCAAGTACAAAAAACTCTTTACACGCCAAATTTACAGCTCAAATTGCACATCCCTTTTCCCCTCAAGATCCCCCCTAAACTTCTTTAATAATATTCTGCAGCAAAACAATTTAAAATCCATGCTCAAAATCCAAGATTTTTTGTTTTATAAAAAAATAATCAACTTCACCGTCAAACCCATTTCAACGATGAAGAAATCCTAGAGAAAATGAAGAGAAAAATTGTTGACAAAAAAAGATAATTAATAAAAAAAATAATTTACCAGCATGCTGTTTATCCCGGGGAGTTCCAGACTTGGCAAGCACCTCAAGATCGACGAGGCTGAGAGACATGAGGCCCAAAGTGAGCCCGGACATCAGGCCCGCAAACAACACGAGCAACACGATAACCAGAATGTGAACAAAAAACTCCGTCTCGCAACAGCTGTACTCCACCGCCATTCGATATCCTCAACAAAACAAGAACCCGAATTTCACCGCCGGCAAAGAAAACGAAAAAAAAAAATCAGCAGGTGCAAATCAATTTCCCTTTTTCCCCTTTTGGGAGAACTCCGGAGTTTTTTTGGGTTTTCTGGTTGAGAGAATAATTAGTATAATTATAATAATAGCTCGACCGAACAGGAAGTGTAAGAACCGGAGGAGTGGCAACGGACAGAACTTTCCTATATATGTGGGAAAGAGATGATGACGTGTCACCGACCCGAGACAGAGGGATGTGATGGGGATTGAGCTGCTTTTGATGCGGTTACAATGTATACAGTTCTGTACGTATCTCCATTTAAGGGATGGGGCCCACATGTATTTTTACATGCACATAGACGTGGCCACGGGCCACCCGGCCCAGACAAACCCGTTGATCACTGATCCTGGCTAGACTCGGATTTCAAGCGGGCTGGTCCAGGACGTTGCTTTTGTTTACTCTAGCCTGGCGAGTCGGGTTTTAACCGACACAGAAAAACGCATTGTTTTTATTTTTTTAATTTGTGCGGGCCCAGACCGGGCCGGGCCACGAACCCTGCACGACCTAGGTCCGTGCTGGTTCAGGGTTTGTGAAACCCAACTCGTCGGCACGCCGGGCTGAGCTGGGCCCGTTCGCGGCCCGTGTTTTGACCATGTCTATTTGCACACCCCGTGTTCTAAATTTTCCATTATATGTGCCTTTACCATAATTTTAATGTGTTTTTTCATTATACGACACAGGTAGATTTAGGCACAATTTTGGTAAAAAATTATCAATATGGTATAGTATTCTTGTTGTATATAGAATATTAGATTCATTGTGGAGCTAACTGTTGGCTTCACAGTAAAACCAACTTAGGGCATGCTTTTTTACAAGTTAATTTACTCACATTATTTTATAATCAAAATCTAATTCAACTTTAATTCAACTCAACTATTTTTAATATTCATATAATTAAATAATAAAATAAATCATTCTTACACATCACATCAATTTTAATTCACTATTCATCAACTTACATAATTTTAACTACCTATCATTTTCAATCACTTATCTCATACTTTTACATCAAATCAATTTTAATTATTTTATTTAAATATTATTTTAATATATATTTAAAAATTCCACTAACAATTAACTATATCAAATTTATATTAAATAAACTATAATTAACCAAAATAATTCTTTTTAAACGGAATATTTGATAAACAACTGCCCTTACTAGTTTTTACTTTTTAGATTAACTATTAAATTGAATATTTACCGGCACAAAGCAAGGGACCGCTAATGTGCGCCGGCGCCGTGTCCTCGCACCTCGCCATCTCTCATGGCCAATAGAGAACTCTATTACAGCTCCAGGAAGCTCATCCTTCCCACTTTATCACTTGCCTCCCGTCTCCTCCTATCTCTCCTCTGCCTCGTCTCAATTTTCCTCTGTTTCTCGCTCTTCCGGAACGACACCGCGTCCCCGCCGCCGCTAACCTATTCAGTGGTGCCGGAGAAGAATGGCGGCACCTGCGACTACTCAGACGGGCGGTGGATCT